GGTGGAGAAAACGCCCTTATCCATGGCTATAACATAATGGGTTGAATAGCATCATCATTGTTATCAAATTGTCTCTTTGTTGATTCATTAGCGTCCAATCAAATATCAATTGCAATTATGTTGCTTCTTATGCAGGATCACCAGGGAATATCGAATTGTGCACCAGCCGATGCTCCACTGCGCTCATTACCCATTCCAATTTCTGAAATTCATTCTGAGCAGGAGGCAGGCAGCAACATTGTAGAGCCAGAATTCATGATTATATTAACAATCTTCGATTTAGTATATCACCAACAGCTTTTTTTCAGGTTAGAAACCTTAGGTTGTTTTATCTTTCTTTTCTCAATTAAAACGTTTTGGCCAATAATATTGGAGATTTGACAAAAAGCTATTGAAATACAGGTTAACACTCTTGCTGCAGAGAAACTCTATTCACTTGCTGGGGATTGGGCTAGTTTGGGTCCCGATACCTTGCTGTTTGATATATGTTGTGGAACTGGAACGATTGGGCTCACTTTAGCTCATCGTGTTGGTATGGTAATACTCAACTACCCAATTTGAGTCTTTTCTTTCTCATCTTCAATCATGCAATCTACTTTAGATGCAACTTGTTTAATACCTTCTATCCACTTAACATTGACTGACTTGATCGCTAGATGAAATTAGAAAATTATACATGGGAATTTATATCAACAGGTCTGAAGCTAATTAAACAGTGATCAGATTTATTTCGTTCATCTCATCTAGAGATATGTAATAAAAGATAGGCCTTTTCGTGCCCTTTGTCTTGGGTGTCAAACTCTTGTAGGTGGTTGGCATTGAAATGAATGCTTCTGCAGTATCAGATGCTCATCGGAATGCTGAGATCAATGGCATAAAAAACTGTAGATTTGTCTGTGCAAAGGTAATGTTCAGGTTTTTCTGCTTTTTTTCTTGGTTATCAAACTTAATGGCTAGGAGTTTGGGATTGGCATAAGATGTCCTCTTCCCTCTCTTTTAAATAATCGCGATCAAAGAATTTTATTCTTCGACTTTTTGCCTTTTGGGCTAATTTAATGAAGTTTATTTATTTATTTATTCTTAATTTTGGATAACAGGCGGAGGATGTAATGGGTTCTCTACTAAAAGAATATACAGACATGTCTAAGAAACAAGATGAGATTTCACATGTTCCCAGTAGCGTTGACAGAGATGTTTTTACTCCTGATGAGACGAGTATCTCCACCAATAATTTTTCAGGCTCAAGCCATGAGCCTGAAAATGGTAAAAATGCATCTGGGGATTCAGAAAATGGTTGTGAAGAGTGCCAGAGTTGTAAGGTAGATGCTGGAAAATCTTCAGTTCCACGGTTTAAAAATATTGTTGCTATTGTTGATCCTCCAAGGGTCGGACTTCATCCCACTGTAAGTGACATGCTCTTATTGTCTATCTGCAGCAGCTTAAGCTATTCATCAAAATTAATGCGGTGATTCTACCTCAAAATTGATCTGTTCATTGTCTAGCTATCCCATTTGATTCTTTATGCCAGAAAGATTGTAGTTTTTCCTAGTATCCTAAGCATTTATTTTTAAGAACTCAAGTGAAAGCTCTGGCGGGTCTTGCTATAATTGAGATTCCATATGCAAATTTCTGTTTTGATATTTATCGGGTAAAACAGACTTTAGGCAGCTAATGTGAATGTGAATCCTTGAAATTTGAAGGAAATAACTTCTTCTCTTTGGATTTTAGTTGGATTAACATCCAATTTTTATTGTTATCTTCCACAAACGTAACTTTTGTGTGTTTGTATAATTGTCTTTGCACAATATCCGTATCATGTCAGAGACTGTTTCAATTGTATATAGCTTTTAGCACGCCTAGCTCAAATTTAGATGTCTCAAACGTTTAATCATCTTTCATGAATTTAATCATGACATTTGGCTTTTTACAAGTTGCATAATAACCCCAATGATAGTATTTGTCTTTACCAGATTAGTAATCCATATGTTTTGTAACCATGTATTGGAAATTAATTCCGAAGCTACATTTTTCTTCTATTACTGACAAATTAGAACCACAAGTTACTAGTTTAATCTTTTTTAGTAGGCCTTGATTTTAAATTACAATCATAAGTTATCACTGACAAGTTAGGACTTTGGATAACCGTATAGGCCTTGATCATCCATCTGCAACTTGTATTTTAGTTAACATCATTAGACTTGATTAATCTAACTTTAACATAAAATGTTTGTATTAATTTATGCTTTTTGAGAGTGCAGGTGATCAAAGCTCTAAGAACTCATTCACATCTAAGGAGGCTTGTGTTAGTCTACATTCTGAAACTTCCATATATATTGTTTTATCTATATCTCTTTTTTGTTGCACTAAGTTTCCAAAACCCTGTTTGTTCTCTGTAGTTATATTTCATGCAATCCTGAATCCTTGGTGGCAAATGCCATTGAGCTTTGTACACCATCTCCTGACAAGGTTGAGAAAGGGAATAAAAACAATAGAGGGTGGAGGAACATGAGCAGTGCTGGTCTAGCACGACACAGAGCGAAGTCTATGCCAATTTCAGAGCCTTTTATACCAGTTAAGGCAATGGCTGTTGATCTTTTCCCACACACTCAGCATTGTGAAATGGTGATGCTTCTGGAGAGGTAGGTAGGCCAACTTTTTCTGGAGATTTTTTTACGGACTACATGTTTCAAAAGGTAGTAAGGATTCAAGTGAAGATGGGATGGGTTGCGACAAGATTGTTGCTTCATCATATATAATTAATCGAGTTGGGCTGTCAGCTGAGGTTGTACGTAGACATAAGAGTAAGTCTTATGGTAGCAAGTTCATCTGGTCTTTTGCTTGTTTAAAACAGAATTAAAATTTTGCATTGATTTAAATTAAATTCCACAATACTTTTTTTAGATAAAAGTTCCTTAGAACTTTTTTAAGTCATTGAGAAGAAATAATGCTATTTTTTTTAATAAATTTTCTATTTTTCTTGATTTTCCTGACCTGCTTTGGTTTTCCCCGGACTTCTGTATTTCTGTTCTATCCGGTAACTACGAGTGAAGCATTTTACAACAAATAGATAGCTTTTACATGCTGCCTTGGAGGTACCATGCTTCCGAGGGACTTTTAAAATTTATTTACTTTCTGTAGTAATTCAGTAACAAAACTTTAGTATGTTGATTCTCTTACAACATAACTATATTACTGTACTGCATCTAATGATTACTCAATATTATCAAATTTTTGCTAAATAATTGAACTAAAAAGGGAGGTATAATGCATTTCCAGGCTTCATTGTAGTATCCAAATACAATAGCCTTTATCCCCAGCCGTTGGTTTTAACTACTATCCTGTTTTTTGGGCTTAAGCCTCTATTGGAAATCCTAATCTACTTAAGGCCATCCAACTGAATCCCCTCTAAGTTTGAAAATATATTCTTCATGGGTCCACTTCTCTATAACCTTGATGGCTAATGAGAGTGGATAAGAAATACATCGAAGCCACACTTGCTCTGGTGGAACTTAGGAATGCAATAAGATGATCTGTCTCCCCACTATGACGAAAAATGATTGGTTTGTTACAGAGTTTTTATTATGCTTTTTTCTTCTCCAATCACCTCCTTCCCTCTAGACATTGGCTCTTGATGCGTTTGCTTCTTTGTTAGCTCTATAGTGCTATACCATAATTTGTGCATGCGTGTTCCCTCTTTCTCTGTACACACACACATCTTGGTTGATGAGACATTATTAGGTGACTGAGAAAGCATAAATGAGTTATGAGTTAGGAATATGTGATTGGTTGATTTCAAATATTGTGGGATTTTCTAATTCATTTGTTCTGTTGGAGTATCTGACAATTGTTTGCTTAAATTATGCTGCCAAATTTGCAGCTTGGACGGAATCATAAAATGATGACTTCAAGAGTTCTGAAGTTATCAATTTGTTCTATAAATGTACCTTACTGTTAGGTTAATTTAGAACAAGTTTAGGAACTTGGTGGAATTTATCTATAACTTTGCATTTAATTTAATTGTAGAAAGATACAAGTCTATTAGGAG